TTAATCAGCTAAGACATAAATAAATTGTTCAGTTCCCCAGCCCTCTCCACCCAGCAGTGTGACAAGAAGCAATTAGTAAATGGAATAAGCCACGTCAGGGGACCCCTGGGCCAGCCTCTCAAACCTGAGCTCCACACTCATACTCCCACATTCTGTGTGTCATTCTGACTCATCCCAACAGAGAGGGCCAACTCTGGCCATGGGGCCAGCGCCCACCCTGCCTGTCTCTTCCACCTCAGCCTTGTCTCTGTTCTCTGAGTCCTGCCCCCTGCAGACTTGGGAGCCTTGGAGGGCGGAGACTGTGTCTTCCCCTCCCTGAAGCCCATGACCCAGCACACTTACACTTTGAAAATTTTCTCTCTAGGACCATACCCTGTGACAAGGATCTGGTGATTCCAACTTTCACTTGTACTGGCTACTTCCAACTTGGCCAACTTCCACAACAGAGGCTGAAAGACTTGAACACTGATGTTCCTGAATGCTCTTGCTACTAGGAGGGGCTGTGTGGCCCATGTCTTACCCACAATATGGAAGTGCTGGTCTCCTGAAGGGTGATGTGGGAAAGTTCCTGCCTGCTTGATTGACAGGGAAGAGCCACCAATGTGTCCCCTCTGGTGACCCACTTCTTCCTACCTACTGATAAGATTACTTATCTATCTCCTCTTGTTTGTTTTTAGAGACAGGGTTTTGCTCTGTCTCCCAGGCTGGAGTACAGTGGCACAATCATAGCTCACTGCAGCCTTGAACTCCTGGGCTCAAGTGATGCTCCCACTTTAGCTTCCCAAGTAGCTGGGACTACAGGTGTGTACCACCACACCTGGCTAATTTTTTAAAAATCTTTTGTAGAGATGGTATATTGCTGTGTTGCCCAGGCTGGTCTCAAATGCCTGGCCTCAAGCGTTTGCCCACCTTCTTAATTATCTACATCTTAGTCATAACTGTAGCCATATGCAGCACAACACCTAGTGTATGCAGACTAATACTTGTCAAAAGAAGGACTGAACCCCCCCAACACTCCACCTCAGCCCAACTAGCCTCTTCTCACCTCCACACCTTTGCCTACATGAGACCTCTGTCTCGAGTGCCTCCTCTTCCTCCCTCCATCTACCCAGGCCCTCCCAGGCCACCTTCAGTCCCCAGACTGTAAGCCCCAGGAGGCTAGAGGAAATCTCCAGGGCCCCTCATGAGGCCTGGCACACAGGAGGCCCACAAAGAATGACCTCCTCACTAAATGAGCCCCAAAATGCAGGCTGCTCGGCTTGAGAGGAAGTTCTAGAAGTTACCCACCCCGTCGCAGGGAACCCTCACTGCTGGTGAGTCTGCACCCCTGCAGTCACGAGGGGGGCCTCTGATATGCACTGTGACCCGAGGTCATGGTCTATAACTGAGTCACTGAGGTTTACGGTCCCTGCGATACCACAGACCACAACTCACTTTAAGGGGGAAGCAGGGAGGAAGGACTTGTCACACGGACTTGAGGCCCTAAGGGATCCCCACAAGGAACACGGGGGAGAGGGAAGGGCAGCAAGTCCCAAAGACCGGACTCCAGTCCCAGCTCTGCCTCTGCCTGACACTAGACCTGTACTGGTCCTCAGTTTCCCCAACTGCAGAAAAGTTTTTAACATTGGGGACACTTTCCTTTCCCATCAGCTCTTCAGGAGAACAGAGAAAATAAACTTAATAGAAAACAATAATTGATAAAGCAATAATAGCAGTGAATATTTATCCATCAGCTGCTCTGTGCTAAGTGTTTTATAAGCATCACTCCGTTTCAGCTCCATCCTCCTACCAGGCTATGAGGTGAGGGCAGTGGGAAGTTCAGCAGATGGTTACGAGTCTGGACTTCAGACCCAGAACCCGGGAGAGGTCTTGAAGGGCTCTGAGCCTCAGTTTCCCCATCCATGGAGACAGTAATAGCATCCACACCACAGGTAAGCACTGTTATCCCTATGACATTCCACATTATAGAAGCTCACTTGCTCATTGCCTCCAGCGAGTGGCAGGGCCTGGCTGTTCTGACTGCATGTTCAGGCCCTGGGGTTGGGCAGTGTGGGTGGGGATATGCAAATCAGCAGGGCAAGGGCCCAGCAGGCCCCAGGCACTCTTTGGAGGGCGCAGCAGCCGGACGGCTGGTAACCAACCCGTGCTGAACAAATATCACGTTCTCAACTCTAGGAGGAGTCCCATGGCTCAGGTGTCCAGTTAATGCAGTGAGCACTGCTGGCCTGAAGGAAGAAAGGGACCCACGGGGGCTGGCAGCAGGCCAGAAGCACAGTCCCATGGTGAGGAGGGCCCTGATCCAAGGCTGAAAGCAAGATAGGCCCGGCTTCCATTCCAGTTCCCCCAGTTGCTGTGTGGCCCTAGGCACGTGGCTGAACCCCTCTGGGGCCTCACTTTCCTCCTCTGCAAAATGGGATTCATACCTCCAATGTGGGGCTGGAGTGGAGGCTGACAAAGCCTGAGACACAGATGCAAAAAATGAAGGTGAAACTGAACTTAGACTGGAAAGCAACAGCACCGAGTCAGTCATCAAAGCAAGGATGGGAATGGGGGCTGACACGCTCATCAGCGAACCCCTCACACCCTCACAAGGTACGGAGCACAGACACCACCAGCTTCCAGAGGAGCAGGGCAGCCGGCAGGGGCTCGGGACAGCAGCCCTTATCCGGAGTGACACCTGATTCAGTCAGATCCTCTCTTTGGGCCTTGGCTTCCCCATTTATAAAGAGGGAGTTGGACAGGTGAGAAAAGAGGGAGAGGAGAGAAAAGAGGAAGAGTGGGAGGAGAAGAAGGAAAGGAAGAAACAGAGGAAGAGAAAGGAAGAAGGGGAGGGAGAGAAAGAAGGAAAAGCCACCCCTGTGGCGTGAGCTGAGAACTTAACTGCATGCGGGTGGGCTCACTTACTGCTCTCAAAATTTGCTCTTGAGGTCGGACAGGGCCATCCTCAACCGACACAAGAAAACTCTGCGGCTCACAGAGACCCACCAAGTCGCCCGCCCAAGGCCACACGGCAACAGAGCCGGGATGCATCCACCCGAGCCCCGTGCCAAGGTCCGTCTGGATCTGGATTGGCTGTGGCACCACCCGGAGGGAAGCAGACCGGCCCCCCTTGTGCCGCGCCCCCGAATTGCAGGATCGTGTTCCGAAGGCCAGAGCCGAGGTCGAGGCCCGGCCCTACCTGGCTGGGCGGCACACCTCCGGGGGAGAGGAGATCGGGCAGGCGTCGTGGGAGCCAAGGCCCGCCCCCGAGTGCTCCAGGGACAAAGACTCCTCAGGGTGGAGAGTGAGAGGAGGAGCTGGAGGCCGGGGAGGATGCCCGCTGCGGAACCTCTGAAGAGACAGTCTTATTTGACTTTATTTATTTATTTTTGAGTCAGAGTCTCACTCTGTCGCCTCGACCTGCTGGGATCCGGCGATCCTTCCGCCTCAGCCTTCCTGGAGCTGGAACTACAGACACGCGCTACCACGCCCTGGCTGATTTTTTGATTTATTGTAGAGATGAGGTCTCGTCAAGTTGCCCAGGCGGGTCTCGAACCTGCGGGGTCAGGCAATTCACTCACCTCAGCCTCCCAAGGCGCGGGATTACAGGCTGAGCCACCGAGCCCGGCTGAAGAGACAGTTTTAAACGCCCCCATCCTGCCACCTTTGTGTACACACACACGTCCAAGTACAATCAGACACGTGGAGTCGGAGCCACCTGTGAGGGGACGGAGGAACCACAGGAACGAAGTCCTGGAGGGGGACGCATGTGGAGGCGGGATCCGGGCCTCGCGGCGACTTCGTGACCCGCAGATGCCGTGCCAGGGTGCGAGTCGACCCGCCCATCACCCCCACCCCTGCCTGGCCCTGCTGGGCCGCTCAGGGGGCCCTGGCGCGAGCCCTGTTGGGGCGTCTTCTCCATCTGACCCTACAGAGGAGGGCGCTCGCGCCCTGCCCACAAAGCTGGGGGCCCTCAGGCCACCCAGCAGTATCCCGTGCCCCCCACCCGAGGCGGGCGGGCCG